ATCAATTTTTTTTCTCTTGAGAAATTATACTTTTAAACAGGTTAATAAAGATAATATTATGATAGCTGTAACGTGTTCGTCCTACCATCACCAGCGGAATCGTATTACAGCCTTTTACGAAGAAGTGTCGTAACTCTTGGCGCTCTTCGACTTGGTGGGGGGGGGACATTTGCACTTCCGCAAATTCCCTTATCAGTACATCTTAATCAACAGGTTACACTTTGATGACACCTGTAAACTCCTGTGAGGCTGCAAAATGGCATAAATGGGCCACATGGTTTACAGGAAATTACAAGACTTCATAAGATGGTCTGAACTAGCTCTGTTAAGTACCATTTGGTGCCCCCATCAAGCCAAACCGCACCTTACTTTAGCAAAATTGAACATCTTTTCTTGGCACAAAGGCTGTAATACGATTCCGCTGGTGATGGTAGGACGAACACGTTACAGCTATCATAATATTATCTTTATTAACCTGTTTAAAAGTATAATTTCTCAAGAGAAAGAAAAAATTGAACCAACTCGATGATTAGTAAGTAGTTATCCTTGTTTAAGTGAAGGCAACGGTATGAATGGCAAAGAGGAATATAAAACTGACCATAACTCAGTAATCGAGGGAACGATTACAAGCTTAGGACTATAGGGATCATGCGTCACTGATAAAAATGCAAAGAGTTACAATAAAGTACAGTAAAAAAATGTCAGACTAAATGAATGCATTGCCCAAAACATGATACTCGCAAACTAATAAACGGTAATTACTGGTTAGAACAATGGGATAAAATCAGCACGATCGCGTCCACACTTGGCGACCAAGTCGCGCGACTGCGACCGATCGCGCTCGAGTTCCGAGAACGAGTCGCACGAGTCGCGAAGTATGAACGCGGTCTTCTTAATAAACTGTCGACGAATCGAGTTCTACACAAATGAACACACATCACATTCCATGAAATTTAATGCCGCGCTAAGATGCGCTATAAATTGCCCGCGATTTGTGGGGTACAATATTATGATATGCCAAGAACAACAACCAGATTTCCAGACTACTGCACGAATTCGGCAAGAGCACGAGCGGGAGCCATTGGTCGCCGCTCGCTTGCACGTCTAATCACACCGTGTTTCTTCTGGATAGGCACCAATGGCTGTTTCATCGGTGGCGCCATACGCCACTGCACTTGTGGTGCAACCGAGTTATGACGTCGAAACTGAAAATTACCGAAATTACATTGATTAATTCCAGATCAACTAAACACATGCACACGCTTCACGGCCAGGGCACGCCCCGATTCAGGTAAAAATTTTGCGGAAAACGGCCTTCTTCATAAGCATCTCCTCGACGACCTCTTTCCTATTCCCCATTCTGCCTATCATCTCCCAAAATTCTCCCAACCTAAGGGAGGGTATAGCGCGTGCAAAACGGGAAAAATTGAGTAAAATCAACAAGCGAACACTTCTCAGAGTCCCCAACCTGCAACGTGCCCTGCACGCGGTACTTCAACTATTTATTGAGCCTAGTCCAAAATCCATCGACGCTCCCAACGGGTAAATGTTCCAAAAAAGGAGGGATAGTTTTTGTTAGGTCAAGTTTAGGAATGAGCGATTCACACAACAACCCGAATAGAAAAAAAACAAGCCGGAAGTCAGAATATTGGGGCCTGGAAACTAGCACGAATACAAATAGAATACTTTACTACTATGGACAACTATTAGACTCACTTCACTAAACACATGCGTAGTTTAGATAAACTTCACAAGACCACGCAAAACTACATAAACTAGTAAGAAACCGCACAACACTCTGATCTTACCGTCTTCCTCTTGTCGCATCGATGACGTACATAGAGCCATCGCTGCTTCTACGCGAGCGCGCTCGCTTTGGGCACACTATATTTTGTTAACATTTAAATGAAACTGTTCATCTATTCTAGTTTTTTTTTAAACCTGTAATTCTGCTCTTTCAAAACGCTTTTCAAGGCGCTGTTGGCCTTGGGGGGGGGGGGGTGGGCGTTTAGCTGGTTCCCATCAATCAACCCTACGCCTCCTATGAAGACCTGTAAATTCCTGTGAAGCTATGCAACAGCAACATGTTTGTCGCTGGACACTTGACAGAGTCTACAGGTCTCACCAGGGTGAAACATGTAACTGTAATATAACTGGGTGAAAATGTCCCCTCCAAGCGGAGCAGCATTCCTTTTTATTCAGAAGTTTAATCTAAAGCACTGCAGCGCAATGGTTCAACATCTGCAAAAGGAAAGAAAAGAAGTAAGTTGAAAATTGCTCTCCTCGATGTCCCTTTACGACATAGAAAAGGTGTTTTTTCATATCAAGACATGGCTCACCTTCGTGCTCGCAATGTACGCCGCCTTCACTGTTAGCACCACTGCGCCAAGGAGATTCCGAGCTGTTTGAATCAACGACATGGCTGATTCCAAACCAGAAACAACCACATCATTTCCAATCTGTTGCACATCAGCTTTTACCTTAAATAGGTACAATCGTGGTAAACCCAACAAACAAATTCTGTTCCAATCTAGTAAGGTGGCCTGGCATCAGAGCTGCGAAGGCGCGACAGAAATGCCATTAGACCGACCGAGTTTCCTTTTCTTGAAGCTCTTATTGCTCGGTGCGTAAACTGGGGGATGGTACGCTAGCGCGTAATTGGTGAAAGGCTGCGAGAGGGTAGTTTGGCCACATCTCACTGAGTTCCTTACACCAAAGATACTGGCAGTAACTGCCCGCCCTCAGTCATTGTGCTCACTGTTTTCGAACCTGGGAAAGGGAAATATCTCGGCAGTGAGTGAACCATTCCCAGTCCTTCAAAAGCTAGATAGTTACAATACCTACCTTACTGCATATGTTCAGTTGTTGGCAATACAATGTGATCCGTGATAAGTAAGCAAACAAATCCGCCTTGTGTTCGAGTCAACACTTTCATCGCCAATTTGTTTAGCCAGTGCATTCAGCTAAAATATTATGTTGATCAAACATCAGTGATAGCCAGCCATTATGTAAGAAAGTCTTTCGTAGACAAAGGAAAGGCTCAAAGACAGCAGGCACGATGGCTGGGTGCGGGCTGTTACTGCCAACGTCATTGGTAAGGCATTTGGCCACACCCCACTCAGTCCTCCCACCAATGACGTTGGCACTAACCGCCCGCCCCCGACCATCATATTCGCTGCCTTTAAGGACCGAAACTTTGTCATACAAACTGTGGAAGAGTTTCATTTGATCAAAACACAGAGGAATCTGATGAGTATTGAAGCTCAGGAACCCTGTGATTTTACTCGATATAAAAGTACAAAATGAGACCCCGTTCCAAGAGACCTTGATCCTAACATTATCTTATATCTCTGAGTTTCGGTGGAGCGTAATTATGAAAAAATTATAGCCTAAGGCGTTCACCTTTGACCCGTCCACAGATATTTCCTGAGCAGCCCGAATAACATCCATTGTTGTTTTCAACGGACCATGGCCCCTGAAAATAACAAATGAATAGACAGTGCTAGAAGTACTGCCATATTGTTGGGGGTAGTAAGAATGCCAAACCTTGTAAAGTCAGTCATATCCGTCATGATCATACACATATGCTTAGCTAGCACAATAATATCGTTTCCACTCTCATCCCATTTGGCTACTTCACGCTCAAACTTCGTCTGTGTTATCTGCAAATGGGATGAGAGTGGAAACGATATTATTGTGCTAGCTAAGCATATGTGTATGATCATGACGGATATGACTGACTTTACGAGGTTTAGCATTTTTTACTACCCCAACAATATGGCAGTACTTCTAGCACTGTCTATTCATTTG